GTAGATAGATACTACGTAGATACACGTATCAAACAACAACATCAATCCAATTCCAAAGAATTCACAAGTCATATTACATCCACACTATCCCTCATTAGATAATCGATCCTACATGGATTAGTGTCTCTCGAACCTCCCGAGAACACCACAGTGCTAGCACATCATTGCACGCCCAGTAACCAGGCATCGACGCCCCTGTCTCAAACAGTGCGCTACATTCCATAATACACAATACACATTACAAAGCATCATCCAATCACATTAGCACGTAGCACATAATCTCGGAGAATTACTATTAAATTCCATCATTTACTATGATCTTATAATAGTATTTTCAAAACAAATAAATATATACACTCACCTCCAATATACAAATCTACAGCCCTTCGGTTCTATTGGTGGATCTTTTCAGTGTTACCGTATCCATTCCGACACCAACTGTCTCACCTGTTCCGCCTAACACATGTGTAATTAGAATATTAATATGTTTATCACATTTAATAGTTAATAATGCACTAATGTATGCAAATGATGCACCCCAAAGTACCCCGATAACCCCGGTTACCGCACTATCTACTTACACATTAAAAATTTTGTTCTAGGGATCACATTTCCTCCCCAAATTTCCAAAATCACTCACATTAATCACAATTAAGATTAAGTAGGTCAAACACATTGACCGGGGGTCCATTTCTACACATTTCGACCCCAAATCTTAAAAATTGCATTTCCGACATTTCATACATTTTGCATATTATTCTCATTTGCATTCAAAAGTCACATTATCACATCAAGCATTATTTAAAAATACTACATGCAAAATTTCAGGTCATTTGGATTAAAATTCGCACATGTAATAATAACATTTAAAAATTAGGGTTTCGACATTATCGACACTCATTTCTCACTTCTATCACACTTTTTATTTAAAACCGCCGCACTTAAATTCACATACACTTTTAATCAATGCAAAACAGCCCCTAATTGAGCCTTTAAACCACCCATTTCATTCCCATAATTTTTATTTTCAACCTAACTTGCTAAGTGCTTCCCGATATTCATTTTTCACATTTTTTTTTTGGTCTTTCTCATACCTGGATTGCACACCCCTTTACAACCATTTTTGATAGCCCCTTAAATAGACTACATACACTTAATGAAACTCTCAAAAAATCTGGTTTGATCCGAACATAAAACAACTCATTATTTGTACACAAGACAACCCACTAATTATCTGATTATGTGTAATACACTTAATTAAACTCAAATTTAAATTAAAATAGCCTACTCATTAAAATATGTTAAAATAGCTCATACATGTATAACAACAGATATATTAAAATTTAATCACAACGTAAGATTAAATTGAATCACACATACTTTCCTTGCTCACAGTTCAAATAGACACAGGCGAATATTTTTTTCTCTTCCTTTCTTTTCCTCTTCCTTTTTTCCCCTTTCTATCTTGCTCACCTCACTCTCTCAGCCTCAGAATTCCATCAGACGCACACACACACTTTTTAATATCTTAAACACACACACGGCAACTTGGCAGCCACATGGCTCATCCATTTTTTTTTTATACCAACACATGTGAAGGTGACCTATGTTAATGGGTTAATTACACTTACTTTTCAATTTTTTAAATAATTTTAAAATTGACCCACTAATATTTTCACAAAATTATAATTTAACCCACAAAATTATATTAATATGCATGCAATGCATAATTGGGTCTCACATGGTCTAACATTAATTATTTTAGATAATTATTTGAGCTTAGACAATAATTCTTTATTTGGTATGAGTACGAATTTAACATCAGAGAATTATTTTAGACTATTTTTACCTAAATTTAAATTTAAGAACAAAAAAAGTCACGACTAGAGTTACGCTCAAACATCTTTAATTTTAGAGTTTTGGAGTTCTCTAGATTGGGGTAAAGATTTTGGAGACTTGGCTTATTAATTGAAAACTTGATTCCTGTACAATCTCTTGCTGATTGTTGTTGCTTCTCTTCTTATCTCCAACTTATTCCCTATCTACATCAGCCTCTTTGCTTATATCTTCCTAGTTGTGCTGAGTACATTTTCTTTCTCTAAAACCAAGTTTGAAGGTGGCATGACAACCCCTGCACAATGAATAGTATTAATGGATGACTAAACATCTCACTCGGCAGACAGCAGATTGTTCAAAGTGGCTATAGGGTGAGCACTTGAAATGGGTTGCATTGCAACATGAAAGTACCCAGAAGAGAGATCAAGGTGACACATTGAGGGGTTTGGGTATAGTTTATGGCTACAGTTATTTTGCTTAAATGGGTTTTCCTTTCTCCCTTCTTTTCGTTTATTAACAGATTCTTAGGTCAACCAATGACACGTACAAAACAACCAGCTTTATGTTAAGAAGGAGAAGTGTTCTTTTGCTCTACAGGAAGTCTTGTTCCTTGGACATCAAATCAAGGGAGGGACCATTTGCATGGCCAATGAGAAGGGGGAGGTCCATAGAGGACTTAAAGGGAGCCATCGTGGTTGATCTAGTAGATATTCACAATCAACACCAATTGATATGAAGAATCCAAATTTCCTCCAATATTTTTTTACCGTTATTTCCCTTCTTGACAAATCATCCTATCATTAATGAATGAAAATTTCACTTATTTACAATAGGCCCTAATTAAATTGATCATTTAACAAGTGAAGAAGATGTCACTCTAACGATGTATGAACGCAAAACGTAAAGAGAATGCTAAAGCTGAAGAGCTTAAGACTTGTGTGCAATATTGTGAGAGTGAACGATGAAGGTAAGATCAATCTGGCGACTAAGCCTGATAGCTCTGTGATGTGCTACAGTAATTGGAAAATAGGGGTAAGAACTAGAAAAGGAAAAGAATACACAGATTATAGTGGTTCACCGGTTGAAGAACTTACCTAATTCACTTTAATGAAGTCTCCTACTTCTTGGAAGGAACTATATATTAGATAGGGTTACATTTTGCCCAATTCATTGAATTTTTTTATATACCTTTACATGGAAAATATCTTTGTATTTATACCCACAGGTGAGGTGGTCCCTATCATCATCACATGATCCCCCAATTTGTTAAAATTTAATTGAGGGAATATTGAACCATTGGAGGTTACAATTAGATGTGACATGACCGTCTAGAACATACTGAGGTGGCCTTGTGACCTATCTTTAAACTTGGATGCATTATGGTATATCCTCCATATTTTTAGAGGAGTATGTTGTGAGCTTTAGAACGACCTCCTGTTCTTTTATGCAACTAGTGAGTAAATGAGCTTGATCCAAACACCTAACGATAATGATTTCCTTCGAGGTGTAGCATGTATGACCTAGGCTCACGCCCCTAAGGTCATTTTTAGGCGACCTAAACTCCTTTAACTGAGGATGTGTGCAAACAATTTTGACTTTTCATTTGAGGAAGAGAGTATATCCATCAGGTGGAGGAATAGACCTTCTCTGTTGGCTCTTTTTAGAACCCGTTACTTCAATAATCTTTCATTTGAGTTTGACCTGCCTGCCTTGGGCGTTGCTCAGGACTGAGCTCATCGTTTCCCTGAGGTACCGTTTCTCTTCTAAGCTAGCTCAGGATGCCCAGGATAGTTGAAAAGACGTAACAGGATGGTTTCGTTGAAATTATGACATCGTTCGGGCGTTATGCACAGGAAACGCCTCGTACAGGCCATGCCAATTGTGGAGCAGCTTGTAGACGCATTTAATGTGCAGAGAGAGAGAAAACCGAAAAAAAAAAAATTCAATTTAAACCCCTCCTCAATTCGATTGTTCTCTTTACCTAAACCCTTCAGCTCTCAATCCCTTCTTTTCCAAATCTTTTGCGATTTCCAGAGTGTTTGTGATTCCCGGAGTGTTCTTGTGAGGTTGGAGAGGAATCGATTCGGGGATTCGAACGACCTAGGAAATTTTGAGGCCTAGGTCCTCCAGTGCTTGTCTAATTCGCGCCCAAGTTCTTCGCCTTTGCCTTGCCATCTTCATCTTTTAGGTTGGTCGCTTCCCCTCTTCCTAGATCCCTTTGCCACAAACGGACCATTTATTGAGGCTTAATTACTAACAAAACCCCTTGTACTTCATGCCAATTCCACACCAACCCAACTTTCGTCTGTAAGTAATACTCTTTCCTGATTTGAGTGATTTCAATCTTAAAACAATCATCTCCTGAATTCATAGAAGAACCATTACATTCAAGTGAATTGTGAGGCAATTCCTTACCCACCAAACACACGGTGGGTAACTAAACCAAAAAACGAATTTGGAAATACTCATTGATCCCAGGTGACACCCACCAAATCTTTTGGACAATTTTGCTATCAGCACTAGTAGATCTATAAAATGCCTAGCTACAACATAGAACCCCACAAAGAACTATTATTATATAGTCCTCTATAAAGCTTATATGAAATGAAATCAACTGAATAATAAAAAGGAAAAAGAAAAAGCCTAGGTTATGATTCTCATGCCAATCAACATAGTTCAAAACAACTTCGTTTAACGCATTGATCTTATTCAGTATATTAACAACAACAAAATGTAATTACTACATGCATCAGCCATCCTCATCTTTCTAAGCTAATATACTACAATCAAACAGCAACATTACTCTACAGTATGCAACCTCAACATAAATAAGTACAAAGAAATGCCCATTTAACAAACTCAACAATCACCCCATAGAAAAAATCATAGAGCTCAACGAAAACCATTGCCGGAGAAGATAACCACTGCAACAGATATCCTGGCTGCTGTCTTTGCAACCTCCCTACAAGCCTACAACTCAAACTATACATACTATGGAGCTAAAAGTACAGGAACTCATCGACCTATGAACCAAAGATAAAGAGTTAAAAAGACTGGTTTGGGACTGTAGCTTGCTGACCGTTGTTTCAAGCCCACTGTCTTCAGGGCTCATTAGTGCTAAGCGTTACGTAGTGTTGCGTTTCCAAAATATCAATATCAGGACTTCAAGAGGCACTTTCTGAAGAAGCAAGATCATCTTTTTCGGAGTTAAGATTGATATTGCCTTGTGGTTTGTCACCTGATGTCACCTCTTTCTGCTGATTCTCATTTTTCTTTGAATTAAGAAAACGACCCCCACATCCTCTAGCTCTTCTCAATGCATGCAGATGTCGAGATTCATGCAAGTATGGCTGCAAGATTACTTTAAACTGTTAAGCCCCTAAATAACTTGGTGTTGACAAACATCAACTTGAAGGAAATACTTATATCTTGACAAGCACATCCATTACCCCAGCATGGAGGTTTACATACTTGCATCAGATAAATATTGCCACTCTCCCTTTCATATTTAAACTGTTTTTCGGAAGCACATCACTCAACTAATTTATACAGACTTAAAACCATTTCTCGGGTATATACATTCGGTAAGATTAGTGTCGCAAGGATAATAAGAGCAGAAACAATCTCATTTAGTGATCACATAAGGTCTGTAGGGAGAAAAAAGTTTGAAATTGTCATGCTGTTTTTCAGGGACCAAGAATGCAGAAAAAAAATAAAAAAAAAAGAAGGGACGATGGTTTCATGCCAGGGGAGCAATATGGGTAAAGCCCCTTCGTTCTGATAGAAATGAGCCATATTAGAAGTAATAATGCAATCAAGATGGTCTGAACCCACAGATCTTCACTATTAAACAATGTGTAATCCGACTGCATAAGACTTACAAAGGCAATAATGTAGTGCCTATAGCTTACCTTCCTAGACTTAACAACTTTATTTTCTGATTCAGCTTTTGCACGAGATTGCCGACGTCGCATAATGCCATGATATTGTTTTGCATTGACAAACACAGGCTCCTCAACTGTTTCTGATGGCAAAGGAACACCAGCTTGCTGAATTCCCATCAACTGGAGGTGGACCTGAAAAATGAATCGTTATACAAACACAAGATTTCTGTTTATATGAAATGTGCATTCTGAATATCAATGTAGAATACTGCATCTATACTAGATGCAGTATTCTACGAGGGCCAAAAATACCATTGGCTGTGCAGGGTAAGGCTGCGCAGGATAAGACTGTGCATCATACGGAGCAAAGATGCTTCTATAGTAAGGATCTGGATATGGGAAAGCAGCTTGTGCCTGAGACATATAATGCTTGAATTAGATCAAGTATAGAGACAGACAAATAATCATTAAATTTCTACAATAGGTATTTTGTGATGGATTTTTGGTTTCTAGCTTTCTAGTTTTTCCCAAAGCTAACATCTGGACCATTCATTTTCTAGACAGATTACTTGATGCAAATATGTACGATAGAACACTGACCATCGTGACAGNCCAAAGCTAACATCTGGACCATTCATTTTCTAGACAGATTACTTGATGCAAATATGTACGATAGAACACTGACCATCGTGACAGCTGTGAGAGGACAGGTAACTGAATTTATGTTCTTAATAGGCATACATCAAACCAATACAGAGTCCCACACTCTCAAAAATCAGAGCAAATAAAAACTGTCAAATAATTTTGATAGCCAAAAAATGCACTTGAATTAAATCTTCAAATTCGTTAGCAAGATCTACAAAATCTACATGATTAAAAATTGGACAAAAGAAAGTTCAAATATAACGGAACAAAATGATATGGATGAGAAGCTGACCTCTAGAACAGCATATGGTCTACATAAAGGAGCATACATTCTTCCTATCTTTTTCTTGACTATAACTTCATTTGTTGTGGTATTGCTAGTTTTAGCTGTTAATAAGACCAGCAAAAATGCCAATACTGGAAAAATAGAAACTCCTTTCACCTAATTGGCACCTTAATCACCTATAGAAACAGTGTAAGGTCGGATAAAAGACCATTACCCTGTTCCNTCAGCCATTACTAGGGCTGAGTTCAAAACTATAATGCATCAAACAGAAATTCCAAACGATAGCTTCTCTTTCTAGAGCATCAAACAACAAATCATCCATTATCAGAATACTTTAAAGGCATGTTTGAGCACTCAAACATGGTTCAGGTTAGTCCTTACCCCGTTTGATTATCTGGTTCGCTACCAGTTTAGTTTGTCTTAAAAGAGACCAGTTGTCTACTCAATTTCTATTCAGATTTGAACAATTCCAAAGTAAATGACTTTTACTCATTACAGTCCAAAAAAAGACCAGTCAGCCTCAGAAACGTGAGACGCAGTTCTGTAGTTTTCCACACGGACTCAATCACACACTCCAAAGAATCCATATCAAGGTCATGTTTGATTTGATTAAGTCACATTTTAGTGATTGATTAAGATCAAAAAAGCCAGTGGAATGTCATATTAGGTAGTTAAAAGTCATTTTCTTCGAACATTTTAGATTTCGTATCTCTGCGCTTGCATCTGCTGCCTAAAACATGATAATGATTTAATTAAATTATTCAATTAAGCATATTGTATTTTCAAACTTGTAAAAAAAAAAAAACTAATCAGCCAGAACTGTTTAAAGCAAAAGTAACCTTGACAGGCAAACAGAAGATTAAGACATTGGACTCTAGCTTCCAATCTTGGTAGGTGCAGGATTGTGTCGTTGGAGTTAGGCCAATAAATATTGCCATGAATCTGACAACTTATNTTCCAAAGTAAATGACTTTTACTCATTACAGTCCAAAAAAAGACCAGTCAGCCTCAGAAACGTGAGACGCAGTTCTGTAGTTTTCCACACGGACTCAATCACACACTCCAAAGAATCCATATCAAGGTCATGTTTGATTTGATTAAGTCACATTTTAGTGATTGATTAAGATCAAAAAAGCCAGTGGAATGTCATATTAGGTAGTTAAAAGTCATTTTCTTCGAACATTTTAGATTTCGTATCTCTGCGCTTGCATCTGCTGCCTAAAACATGATAATGATTTAATTAAATTATTCAATTAAGCATATTGTATTTTCAAACTTGTAAAAAAAAAAAAACTAATCAGCCAGAACTGTTTAAAGCAAAAGTAACCTTGACAGGCAAACAGAAGATTAAGACATTGGACTCTAGCTTCCAATCTTAGTAGGTGCAGGATTGTGTCGTTGGAGTTAGGCCAATAAATATTGCCATGAATCTGACAACTTATTTCTTCGGAAAGTCAAACCTAAGCATTTACCAACAAAATAAGCTCGTAATCTGTTGGTTAAACCAGAGCTAAAACCAGTGAAGAAAGAAATACAGCAGCGAAACCATAAATAAGATATAAAATCCTTATTCTTTACTCTATATTTCAACATATAGCGAAAAAAAGAACAAGGAAAACAGTTGATTCTCTTTTTCCAAAAAAAAAAAAACCCCAATCCCATACAAAAACCAAAAAAAAAAAAAAAGAAAAAAAAACTTGATGCAAAACTTATTTTCCAATTGTTCAAGAAAACAATGTTCAACATTTACAAGAACAAAGATAAAAAGAATATTCAAAGTTTCATATACATTATTTTGGAAAAGGAACGAAGCCAAACAAGGCAACAGCTAAACCGATAAACGAAACACTAAGTTGAAAACAAATCAGTGTTGAATTGCATAGAAACAATACAATTAACACATTTTGTAGTCCGTGACAGACCATGATCCTCCTCTCTTTTCATGCAGCCAAATGATCTGTACTCCGTGTAAACAATGAAAAAGTCCACAACAAATTCCAATTTTTGTTCTCCATTCCAATGTGGCATCTCTACATTATCTCCTATAAATGTCTATTTACTATGATATACAGTTTCAATTGAGTTACAGGCTGACAATTCCCATTCATCCTAGGAAGTGGGACCACAAAAGATGCTTTTCTGCTTCCTCTAAGATGAGCACTTAAAACCTCTCTCCATTGTTGAATTCACATTGATATACCAAATTTGATAGTTATATAAAAAGATCAACCAAGATTCTGTTTGGGAAAACAGAGTCGGTTATAAGAAATACCTCAGGCACGGAGAACTGGGGAAAAAATAAGTTATCTTACGAGCATTTTAAAAAACCAGGTCATATTTAAGTTACAGAGCTACATGTACTACTTCCTTAAAGCATCTCTCTTGCTTCACCTGTTAATAAAATGCATACATCTACATAGGCAACCTATATAAAGCGAGACACATCGCTTCTTTTGTTTGTCCTGAGTCATTGGCCTTGGCCAAAAAGACCCAGGCCCACAAGAATAATTCCCCTATTTTGGAAATAAATGTAAGCATTTTATTAAGAAAACAGAAGATGTGCCGAGGATGCTTCCAAAGCCCAAGCCAGACTCAATTTGAGACCTTGGATAATTTAGTTTTCAGTTTACTTAAGTCATATTTTGTGGATCAGTTCAATATGTTTTCTGGATAAATCGCAGTCATTTCACATTCAACTGGACATGGGCATTGGTAGTAGCTCTTGGGCCATTAGTTTGGGTCCTGTTATGTTTTTGGGTCATTTTAATTAGGTAATACGACTGGTTGTAACAAAATGCTTGAGTTTCTAAGTTGTAACCATAGTCCTAGTTGGTGAAGGAGATCTCTTGGGGCCTGTAAACACACACCTATATGCCTTAGGTACGCATTTACCCTTTCAAATAAAAAAGGGAGCAGTTCAAAGAAAAGTCATGGAGCTTTTTTTGGGGTGTTTGTGATGCAACGGTAACCAAAAGGTGTGATTCCTAAGAAATTCTGGGAGTGATTCCTAGTTTTCATCATCTTCTTCTTTCCTCTGTTTTCTGCAACTAATTGCCTGCAACCAGACCTGATTAAGAAAACTCTCAATCCCTAAAAACTTTAATTCCAGACTAACCCTCACCTTTAACAACCCTTCAACCCTGGCCTCTTTTTAAACACAACACCAGATCGTACTGAGCAGACATTGCGCTGTTTCAGCCACCAAAACACTGTTTTGTAGTACTATAGCTTCTGCAACCAAAACCCTGACCAAACTTTGATTATCTTCTTTTTTCCAATTAAAACAACTAAGTCGCATCCTTAAACTACAGTTTTTTGCAAAAAAAAAAAATCTAAGCCATGATCTCGTATTTACAATTTCCTTACCCTCTTCATGGAAACAAATTACAGACCTAGATGCTCCTCACAAATCAAAGGCTGAGTTTTTATCACCACAATGCCAAAGATAACCTGATGGATGACAATAACCTTCCCCCACTCCACATCTTTGGATGAAGAAATTAATAAATTTGAATACACTTCACAGTTTTGTATCTTCAGCAATTATATAATCAGTTGCACTGAATAGAATAATGTCACTTCAATCTAATACCATAGCATTTCCAGCTCCAAGCTGTGGAGGTGCCGCATATTGCATATTTGGTGTTGTAATGTGTGGGTGAGACATCCCAGTTGCCTGGGAGGAAGACTGGACTTGATGTTCTGATTGCTTTTGTTGCTCATCTGCCTCACTAGTATCTGAAAAACCATGTTATTAGATGTTAAGAAGCATATGACACCAAAATTTGAAAGTATGGTATGAAGATATTTTCAGATAAAAATTAAAAAGTCAATCCCAAATTTATAATCCACAATGGTTAATTCAAAAAAAGTCATAGCAGTCCACAACTGTAAGCAAAGTAAGAGTGTTAAGTTTCAGAATATATGACCTTAACACCTGAACAAATCCATGAAGCTCATTATTCAGAAATATAGCTTCAACACAAGAACTAATTGGGGGGAACACTTTCTTTTTGGAAAAAAAAATTGAGGGGAACACTTGAACAATATGGTATATCAAGACTACTATAGACTATTATCACAAAAGCCGTGCAATAAAATTCAAGCACAGAACGTGTTCACAGATCCTGAATGTAGATCTCAAAGATCCAATTTCCCCATATTGTGCTTGACAAAGAAGAAAATCACTCAATAACCTCCTTAGCTGATTCATATACCAGAAATCCAGCCTCATGCAATGCAAAAACAAGATTACGTGACACATTTCTTTTGCAGAAGACTGCACCCCTAAGAGATGAATATCAGTATTTTGTCAATTGTCATAGAACATCAGTTTCCATAGCAGTGTCCCCTGTCACCACCAACAAGCTCAAGNGGACCACAAAAGATGCTTTTCTGCTTCCTCTAAGATGAGCACTTAAAACCTCTCTCCATTGTTGAATTCACATTGATATACCAAATTTGATAGTTATATAAAAAGATCAACCAAGATTCTGTTTGGGAAAACAGAGTCGGTTATAAGAAATACCTCAGGCACGGACAACTGGGGAAAAAATAAGTTATCTTACGAGCATTTTAAAAAACCAGGTCATATTTAAGTTACAGAGCTACATGTACTACTTCCTTAAAGCATCTCTCTTGCTTCACCTGTTAATAAAATGCATACATCTACATAGGCAACCTATATAAAGCGAGACACATCGCTTCTTTTGTTTGTCCTGAGTCATTGGCCTTGGCCAAAAAGACCCAGGCCCACAAGAATAATTCCCCTATTTTGGAAATAAATGTAAGCATTTTATTAAGAAAACAGAAGATGTGCCGAGGATGCTTCCAAAGCCCAAGCCAGACTCAATTTGAGACCTTGGATAATTTAGTTTTCAGTTTACTTAAGTCATATTTTGTGGATCAGTTCAATATGTTTTCTGGATAAATCGCAGTCATTTCACATTCAACTGGACATGGGCATTGGTAGTAGCTCTTGGGCCATTAGTTTGGGTCCTGTTATGTTTTTGGGTCATTTTAATTAGGTAATACGACTGGTTGTAACAAAATGCTTGAGTTTCTAAGTTGTAACCATAGTCCTAGTTGGTGAAGGAGATCTCTTGGGGCCTGTAAACACACACTTATATGCCTTAGGTACGCATTTACCCTTTCAAATAAAAAAGGGAGCAGTTCAAAGAAAAGTCATGGAGCTTTTTTTGGGGTGTTTGTGATGCAACGGTAACCAAAAGGTGTGATTCCTAAGAAATTCTGGGAGTGATTCCTAGTTTTCATCATCTTCTTCTTTCCTCTGTTTTCTGCAACTAATTGCCTGCAACCAGACCTGATTAAGAAAACTCTCAATCCCTAAAAACTTTAATTCCAGACTAACCCTCACCTTTAACAACCCTTCAACCCTGGCCTCTTTTTAAACACAACACCAGATCGTACTGAGCAGACATTGCGCTGTTTNAAGAAAATCACTCAATAACCTCCTTAGCTGATTCATATACCAGAAATCCAGCCTCATGCAATGCAAAAACAAGATTACGTGACACATTTCTTTTGCAGAAGACTGCACCCCTAAGAGATGAATATCAGTATTTTGTCAATTGTCATAGAACATCAGTTTCCATAGCAGTGTCCCCTGTCACCACCAACAAGCTCAAGATACATTAACCTTATCATTACTATTTTTGTTTTGATCTGCTGCTTCAGTACTGTTAATATTCTAGTCCAACTTGCTAGAGGCATATCAGATTTCACCTGAGAGATTGTGCCATTCCCCATCAAATGGCAACCAATATCATAAATATTGGAATAATTTCAAGACTAAGCTTTTAAAATGTAACAAACAGTCTTTAGGAACAATGGCCTCATCTCACAACCACTGTCACAGCATTTTATGCCAGGAAAGCAACGGCATGAGCAATTCAAAAATTTTAAATTGGCCAAAAAAAAAAAAAAAACAATACCAGAAAGGTCATGACCAGAAGAAGTCATGATGCTGCTGTACATAAAACTCCAAAAATCAGATCTGGCAGAACAAACAACATAATCCAGTCAGTGAAATAAAAATATGACACTGAAACTCCAAATAGCTACTTTTACAGTCCCAGAATTGCTTAATTAACATCCTAGGGTACCAAAAAGAATTCTTACAGGTAAAAACTAGGTGGGCCCCTTAATAGAACCAGAATTACACTATACTTAAATCACATATTCCATAACATCACAGAAACAATAAGGATAACGAGACTAATATTCCAACCGAAGAACGTCAGGATCAAACTTTTCTTTTGCATATGATTATGCCAAGTGGGGTTCAAAACTGGTAACGAACATACTAATTTACTATCTTTCACGAGCTTTTTATGGGCACCAACTCGTTCAAAATCATACCAAATTAACGGCAACAACATCATCAACCCGGGGNTCTTTCACGAGCTTTTTATGGGCACCAACTCGTTCAAAATCATACCAAATTAACGGTAACAACATCATCAACCTGGGGCCAATTCATCCTACCTACTAGAGACAATGAAGTTCAAAAAAAGGATGCATCAAACATGCAGCACAACCCCCGGTTCTACTTCACTAAACCACATCCTTGTACGAGGTGGAAGCCCCTTTTATTGTAAGCCATGTTTATGTGATGAAAAGGACAAAACAATAAATAACAATAAGGAATTCCCAAAAACAAAATCCATATTCTAACCTCAACAACAAGCTAAAATCATCTAAATTGAGAAACTAAAGCTCTATGAATATAAGAAAAATAAACAACAATCTAAATATAAGATCTCCACCTGATGACTGCTATTCATAAAAAAGACAAGTCTACCATCACAACATCAACTTTTTTTTTTGGGCAAGTATCAAAACAACAAATTCATTTCTCATCCCCTACAATCCCTAATGGCATGCAAAATGATCAGGAATAGCACAATAAGATCAAGCATATAAGAAACTCAGGTTCCCACAGCCTCATTGAAAAAAAAAAGGCAATATTCATAAAATGCTTCAGGATTCATTCTTCATTGAAGTCTTTGGAATTGACAAGATGACGAAGGCATAACCATTATTTTTGAGAAAATAAATTGAGCCATAATATATTAACGCCCATATGCTTGACCAAAAAATTTAAATATAGAATTTGCCAAAAGTAATCACAGCTACATATCAAACAGATCTCCTTCACCTACTAAAATTGTCCTCGAAAGAAAAAAGTGCTTTTACTTTTCAATTATGGCAGATGCCTATCTCACTTCATGACAATAATCTTATTGCTTAGCACAAAAATTGTGTGCTCAATCATGTTTAGGACAAGTTACCTAAGCTAATAAGTTTCGTTGAAGGGCATTCACAGTCTTGGGCTAACTGTTAAGCCTCTATGCAAGCTGAAACCACCTTGAATGATTCACTTACTCTACAATAATAGTAGTAAGTAATTATCCAAAGATATACAAGTTTTTCAAGCCCATGCATGCCAATCTTAAAGTAGCTTAATCGTTAATGTTGAGTTTTGGATATTCAATGTAACCAAAAGAAAAGGTGTCAAATGAACTATAATAAATTAAATCCAATCTTTCATGTAGTCCATATCAGTTTTAAGTTGAAAAGCAAACCAGCCAAATAAGTTTCTTGTCAAAAAACTTTGAGGTGCATTAGAAATTAGGGCACTTGAAACAGAGTATTCAAACATTTTGGTTGCTTCTTTTTTTATTTTTTGTGAAAATAAATATAAGGCAAAGTGCAAATCTGAAACATCAGATGAAGCTCCCTTAGGGCCTTGTGAAGCCAAGTCTTGGGTTAAGCTCCATTAGAGCGCATTAGAGAGGCTTCAACTAAAAAAAAAAAAAAAAAAAAAACTATAATGTGAGTCCAATTCTCAAAAGAGAGAGGGGGGTTGGAAGGAATATATGTGTTGGCCAATATGAAGCCAGAAATTGGAGATCAATACTCAACTCTTTGGTGTCATAATGACAAGGAATTATGATGCAAGCACAACTAAACAATAAGTGGACTATAAAGCCAAGAAGGAATATAAGAGAGAGTATTTTTTATTTCACCCAATCTCAAGCTTTGTGTGCTCACAGATTTAAATAGTATAGAATTCAAAGGTTAAAATATTCAATCCAAAATCCATTATTGTGAGTAAGGGATGTCAAAATTCCACCTACATTACAGAGGATGGAAAAGAGGTACACATGGAATCACCAGCAAAGCTCAAATTGAACTCGTTATAGGACCGTCATCGTATGTGTGGTTTAAGCCTATGTTTCTAGCTTCATCGCAAAAGAAATGTAGGTGCTGAATGGCTCCAAGAAACAATGTCAAAATCAAATATAAAAAACGTAAATTGGCTTTTCAGATGGTTCCTTTGTTCCTTTTTTTAATTCTTGTTCTTTTAATTTTTGTTTTAGTCTTGTTCTATTTGTTGTCATTATTCCCATTAGATAGCCCTAAATTAAGGCAAACTAAAACCATAAATTTAGATGTATACATACATATAAAACAAAATATATACATGTATATGAGTATAACTATAAGTATGTGCGTGTGTGTGTATATATATATATATATGGAGTTTCAGGTCTGCGAGAAGTCAATGTACTAGGGCTCATGCCCAAATAGGGGCTTTCTTNTCATTATTCCCATTAGATAGCCCTAAATTAAGGCAAACTAAAACCATAAATTTAGATGTATACATACATATAAAACAAAATATATACATGTATATGAGTATAACTATAAGTATGTGCGTGTGTGTGTATATATATATATATATATGGAGTTTCAGGTCTGCGAGAAGTCAATGTACTAGGGCTCATGCCCAAATAGGGGCTTTCTTTTATCTTGCATGTGCCTTCATTCCTCATTCATTCAAATCAAAGGAAGCTTCATCAGGAAGGGATAGGAATGGCGCATTGGCTTGGTTGGTGGCTGGTGAGCTTAGCTCTCGTTCTGTAGCTGCTGGTAGCCGGTCGTTATGCGGCAATCATAAAATCTTTTGAGCCTTCAGTTCTCCATGCCACAGTCTCCCCCGACTATATAGGGCTCTTTCAGTGCCTTATTCAATTTCCCTTGAAGTAGAGGGAACCTTCTCTTTCTCTTTAAGTGGGAACGAAATCAATCAATGAAGAGAAAGAACTTTCAAGAGGAAGAAGTNCTTTCAGTGCCTTATTCAATTTCCCTTGAAGTAGAGGGAACCTTCTCTTTCTCTTTCAGTGGGAACGAAATCAATCAATGAAGAGAAAGAACTTTCAAGAGGAAGAAGTATATATATATATATAAAATATTTTACAACTTCATTTCCCAAAGAAACACATGCTTGTGTGAGTGAACCAAAATAATGCAACAATCAATCACCTTGCGACAGGAATATAACTCAATCAGCCCATATTAACAGATAAAATCAACTCAATTAACTCCTAAATCCAAAAAAAAAAAAAAATACTTTAATCAACTAATTGACAAATGCACTTCAATTACCAACAAATAAAACAAAAGACACACATAAACAAAGAACCACAAATCATTAACCATACATTATTCAACTCATCCAGCAACACAGATATCATTGCAAACAGAAAATCCCATAAAAAGAATACTTTCTTGAAAACAATTGACCACAACGACCTGCTTGGTAACCGAGAAAGCAGAGGAAAGACTATTTCTTAATTATTATTTTTTTTAAAACTTTCGTCTGGTTCTGGTTCATCACCGATTCTTCTTGGCAAGCAAAAGAAAATGAATAGAGAAAATATAGATAGAAGGAAATCAAGAAACTAGAGGGGGTGGATTTTCGAGTTTACCTCGGAAAGAAAATTCACGGGGGCAAAATTGGTGTTCTTGGAGTTCGTGTGTTCTTCTCTCTCCCGGTAACGGAAAACTGTTGGTTGTGTTTGGGAGGAGAGAGAGAGAGAGGAATTGGAATAGTTTTACCAGCGTACTTTCACTGCAATTATACCGGCTTCTTTTGTACAGATTCTGATGGTTCTTTCTCGTGCGTGTGGGTGTGTATTCAATTAGGTTAAAGTAAATAAATAAATATATATATATATATAAAACATGGCGGTTTCAATAAGTCGATATTACGGTCTCAAATATATTCATTCAATGGTCAAGAAATTATAATTTTTTTCCTTAATATTTTCTCCCCCAAAAAGTGAACGATTACAGCTAATCTTGGAACACATTCTACTGTTTTAAATTCATTCATCCAACGGTCAAAAATATATTTTTCCCTTAAAAATATCATATCACTTATTTCTATCATATATTTAATCATACAATAATATACGTGTTGAAAAAATTTATTCTAGTGGAATCGATTTTTTGAGCGCTTGAATTTTATATTTTATCGTGTCTTTAGGTACGGGTTATAACTAGTATATAATAAAATAAATAGGAAGATGAATTTTATCCACTATATATTTTCTCTTTAAAATCATCATATCACTCGTTCCTATCGTATGTTTAATCATTTCATATTTGATTAATTTATAGTTTAAAATAATTTTTTATTTCAAACATTATCCATATACGATAGCATACATATGTTGAGACAATTTTATCGAATTATATATTTTGAGAAAGTTTTGTTAATGGGTAAAAATAAATTTTGAATGATTAAATCAAATAAACGAAGGAAAAAAATTATTATTTAATATAATGGAATTAATTTTTTGGGAACTCAAATTTTATATTTTATCCTGCCTTCAGGCACAGATTATATATATATATATATTTCTGATGACTATAAAAATGCTTTTGATGCATATAAAAGTGCATATTATTTTAATCCATATAAGGATTCTCATTATATTTAATGTATATAAGGCACCGATATAATTGTGTTTGCACTTTCAATCCGCATAATAAGGTGGAAGATGAGTTCATAAATGCACTCAAAAATAAATTAAAAAACTTGACATTAAGTGTCATCTCTAAAACACAAGGTGAAGAGTAATCTGAAACTGAAATCCAACAATTTGAAGATTCTCTACACTAGATACAATCTGAAGAAATAAATAAAATTGGATTATCTAAACCAAAACTAATCATTATCAACAGGAACCTCCGTTAAGAGCTTATTATCAAAGATCTACTCCTCAAGATATTTTATATGAATAAAGATTTTTAATTGATCAAAGTGGATATAATGCCTCTTCCGTTTATGAATGGAATATTGATGGTATGTCTAAATATTTAATTCATTAAATTTTACATAAAAATTTTAATGTATGCTTCAATATGCAAAGCTAATAGAAATTCTAATCATGCTACTGCTAAATTTATAATTACCAACTTTATAGGCCAACTAAGAGGATGGTGGGATAACTATTTAACTTCTGTTCAACAAAATGAAGTTTTAAATGTAGTTAAGGTAACAACAACAGAAAATGGAACTTTAATCACTCAAGAAGATGTTGTTTATATCGTAGTACAGACTGTATTAAAATATTTTGTTTGATCTAGTTTTTAAAACTCTGATAAAAGTAAAGAGCTTTTAATGAA